CCTGACTTGGATTTTTTCAGATAGGGTTTAGGGTTTAGGATTAGTAGAAAATAAGGGAATCTATAACACAAGGTTTGTGTAAGGACTTTATTCCCTTAGCCTTATTCCCTGCTATCCAGCACTGAGGTTTGTCACCATGGCTCAAGGATTGAAGGCCGTTGGCGTTTTCGTCCTTGGCTGTGGCTTGTACATCTCTCAGGGCTCCAAGTTCTACGATTCTTTTGAGGACGACATTTCGAAATTCTCTAGCAGTTTTTTCCTGTCTGATGGACAATCAATCCATGGAGTAAGGTGGACACGCAACATTGATCTTGACAGGGCTCGCAGGACATAGGGACACAAATGTCAGTGGTGATTCCAATTATGGTAAGGGTGAGTGCCTCCTTAAACCCCAAACCTCAATCCTAAGCAGTACAAGCAGTTGGGAGTCCTATGGCCATTCACCTGGACAGTAAGGATACTGGAATTGGCTACATGTTGGTCATGGTGTTCCCCGTGGTGTTTGGCGCAGCTGGCTTACTCTACATGTTTAAGGCACTGGCCAAGTCTCAGGTCTACTACCGGTCGTTGAGGCCCAAAGCCTGCAGGGATTCTGGGGTCTCCCAAATTATGCCCCCATAATAGCAAGGCACCTCACCTTCAGGGTAGCCAAAACGGCCATAATTTCGACATCCCCAATATATACTGCAAGGGGCAGTGGTCGACTTTGTTGTGCAAAGGTTAAGGCAGCGGCGGGTTTACAGCCACAAGAAACATGATTTCATCTGAGTGCTGGTAGTACGATTCCGCCCCATGGATAGATCCAACTCAGGACTTCTTACATTCTGCTTTTGGCATCTGCAGCTTTGTGGTGAGAAACATTTTACTTAAATTCCACAAAACTTGAGCTGCGTGCGGACTTGTGGAAAGCGAGTCAAAAAGCCTCTCACCAAGCTGGGGGCTTCCAAAACATTGAGGGCCTCTGCTTGGGGGTCACCGTAATGGGGATGATTAAAGGACATTTTGTTTTATTTCGGCACTATATATAAAGACCTGACAGGCTCAAGGTTTCGGGTCTGATGCAGAGCTTTGGCCCTGTCTCCATAAACCCAAAACCCGGAACTGACACACTTCTAGCCCGGAGGCACGGTACCCTGGTCAAGTTTGAGCGGCCTGCCTTCGGCCTTCGGCCGCTCCTGATTTGGTTCTGGCTGGGCATCATTCTAACCATCAGCTTCGCTGCAAAGGTCACCTGAATTCACCTGAAGCATTTCCCCAGTTCACAGGATCCTATACAACCCCATCTCAACACCCACCCCCAAGTAAGGCTTAATTATCTAATTCGAGAATCCCCACCCTCACGTGTTTTGTATCATTAAATTCTTCCAGCAACAATATGAAGCGTGTATCAGCAGTACAATCCCAAAACACTGTGCCAGCCTGCAGACAGAACAACTGTACATCTTCCAAACACCACCCTTCGGGTGGCTCGGATTTTTTATGGTTATGCTTTGTGGTTGGGCACCCAGGGATACCCCAAAGTTGGGCCCCGCAGGGAACCCCTGGTGTACTTCAGGTTGGGCACAGGGATGCTCCCAGGTTGGGCGGTGCAAGGTTTTTCTGCGATACTCCGCGGTTGGCACGGCAGGGTTGCATGTAAGGATATGATACTCTGCGGTTGGGCACTGCAGGGATTTTCTGCAGTCCAGCACTGCAAGGATTTTCTGTCTTCACATGCGCATGGCCAAGTGCTGTAAGTTTTCGGTTCATGGTCTCCAGGGCCTTGGTAGGAGCCTCTAGTTTGTCGGCGACCTCGCTCCTTCTTCACTTGCTCACTTTTCTTGGTCCGCCTTCTCCTGTCGCTCCTCCCTCCTCTGTCTTCGACTGCCCTGTGTGTCCTGAGGTGGCATGGTAGCAGTGGCCTGCCGTGCAGCATTTGGACTTTCCATCTCTGCTCCTTGGACTTTGCATTGGAGCCGCTTTGCTCCCCTTTCTGGACTTGCTCCTCTTCCTGCAAGCGCTGGTCTTGCATCGCTTTCTGCAAGAGCATTCTCCTCGGCCCTTTCTATACCGGTTGTTATAGATAGGGTTTGGGGTTTTAGGGGGTTCTGTGTATGGCCCTTGAGCTGAGGGTTGCCCACATCGAGGAGTTGGTGGCTCAGCGCCGGCTTGAGGTGCGAGAGCTGCGCGCGGCTTTGAGCCAGAACTCTGAGAAGTCTGAGGCCTCCTACTCTGTCATCTCCGAGCCTCCTCTGCCACTGACCCGTGCTGCTGCCGGACCGGCTGGGTCCTACCCTAACCCCTTCAGCCTCGCCTCCTGTCTCCTCGGCCTTGGCCGCCCCTACCCCTGCTGAGAGGGCCGCTGCGTGCAGGGAGATAGGTTTGTTTCTCCGCAGGTGCAGGAGATCACCGTGGGGCCTCCGGGTGATAGGCTTGCCTTGGCCTCCCGCCTGTGAGTCGTCCGTGACTTTGAGGGTCGGAGCAGAATCCCGTTGTGATTTGCAAAAGGTTCTCTGAGTGCGCTGCGCTTTGCAAGCGAGGTTGGGATCCCGCCAGGACGTCATCGAAGTGTGTGGGGCGGGTGGCCTGGTGCTGCCAGCCTCTTGGTGAGATGGCTGAGTTGGAAGGGCTGGAGGACGGAGAGCCTCCAGGCCCTAGGGACTCCTTCGCAGCAGGCGAGGGCTTTGTGGATCCCGAATGTTCCTTGTTGCTGCTGGAATGCGGCGAGGATGCAGAAGGAGCACCTGTTACGGTGCAATGCATGGTGGTAGGGGAAATAGGGCCTGCCATTCTGCTAGCCTTTCCTGCCACGGCTTGGCGTCGGAAGATTGCTTCAAGGACTGTTTCCTGGGGAGGGTTGGTCTCCAGGCTCTTCTCTGCTGAAGTCGACCGCCCGGGGTAGCAATACGTGTGTGGCTCGGCGTTGCAGAGCCGGCCTGCGAGCCCTACCTCAAGGTATCAGACAAAGCTCCTGTGGTGGCTTTTGGAGAGTCGCCAGACGGAGGCTCTTGCGGCGCTTTTGCGCAACCGTCTCGCCGCTCCGACGCAGGCTGCTTCCGAGGGAGTGGAGGACGCATCAAGCATAGCAGCCAGCGTGGCTGGCATCGAAGCAGCGGTGGCCAAGCTCACGCATGCCCTGATGCCAGACCCCGAGCCTCCTACCGGCAAATGCCGCGCCCGAACGGCTCTTCACTCCGCCTGCTCGAAGGCCGCTGTGCCCTGCCACGACCTCAGCCTCTGCCTTTCCTGGCCTGGGCCCAGGCGTTGTTTCTGCAGCTCTGGCCGCAGGGGTTTACAGAGGAGGCCTTAGAGGAGATGCAAAGGCTAGTCGGCTCCTCTAGAAGAGTCGGAGGAGGAGTGGTTCTCAAGGCCCTCCTTGCCACATGCGTCGGCAGATGCCTTTGCCGAGGCCATGGTCAGGTTCTTCAACAACTACCATCTTCGGAGCTCCCCAGCTGACTTCTGCACGGGGGTGGCTGGAGCATCGCTCGCGCATAGGCGCCTTCCCGTCTCTGGTACATCTGACGTGGTGTATCGGAGGCGCTCTCGCTGCGCTCCGCGCAGGCCTCGCGGAGCAGGCCAGAGCTCGCCTCAACATTGCCCTTCTCAAGCCTCAGTAGACAAGGGCTCATGGATCCTGTCGCAGGAATTGTCATTGGAACTTCCCCCACCAATGGCATCGTTCAGGAGTGTCTATTATTGGAGGATCTTAGATGCCCGCTGGGCAGAAGTGGCTCTGGCGAGGCTCAAGAAGGAAGCCGATTTTCTTGAGAAGAGAAGTCGGCTCCAGAAGCGCAGGGAGCAGACCGAGGGCGCGAGCCCAGCGAGGCCGAGCCAAAACCGAAGCCGCGCCCGCGGCCGCCAAGAAAACCGAAAAACAGTGCATGAATGCCGGGCCGGTTGGGCCGCAGGCGCGTGCCCGGAGCTGCCGGTCCCAGCCTGCGCCTTCCATTTCTGCTGAATTCATTACCCCGACTTTGCCTGCGTCATAGGGGGCCCTTTTGCAGCATTTCTCCGCTCTTCTTTGTGCACCACGGCCGACGAACCACGGCCCACGCCTTACACCTGGCCTTGCCCTAATCCGAACCCTGAAGCTTTTAGTCCGGGCGCCGGCTCTGCCAACATGTAGAAGAAAAAGTTGATTGCCTTGCCAGTGTTGCAGTCGGCCTGCAGTTTGCCCCGCTGCCCTCCGCCTGCACGTGCCTTTGAATGCCCGACAGTGGAAAGGCCGTGCGCAACCTCGAGCACCCCGTGTTTGGCAGCTTTTTCTCTTTGTCGTTTGAAGCGGCCGACTACGGCTGTGTTGGACAGAGCTTGAGGACCAAGGCCAGGCGCTGGACGCTTTGGGTCGGGCCGCCGCTTCTCTGTGCCAAGCCTTTACTGGGCTTCTCGTCGGCCCGAGCGCCCGGCTTCTGAGCTCTCTGGCTTCTCCTGTGCCACTCGTGTGGCGAACCCCATTGCAGCCAAGGCCATCGTTGCTGACCGGGTGAAGCTGCCTGCAAAGCCTGCCTTTCACCCCCAAGCCTTCATGGATAGGGTCACCGCTATGTACTATAATAGGCCTCTGGACTTTGCCAAGGTGCCAGATCCTGATGTTGTGTGCCTCCTTTTGTCAAAATCCTGGCCACCCCGGTCGAGCGGATTAAGTTGCTCAGGAAGCTTGTTGCTGCCTCCGGTCGCCTTGACCCCCTGAGGTGCGTCGCCTCCACTCGTGAGGATTGGGGGGATGCTGAACGTGATCGCCTGGTACTCGATGCCAGACCTGCCAATCGGCTTGACAGTTTTCCTGCGCGTTGGGTGCATTTGTTGGCATCCGCGGCCGCGCTCTCCGGGATCATCCTTGAACCTGGGGAAGTGTTGCTGATGTCAGGGATTGACCTCCGTGACTGCTTTTACCAGTTTGTGGCGCCGGCTCAAAGGATTGCCTGTCGTTGGCTGAGGCCTCTTCTGTGTTCGGCCGCGACTGCTCTGAGTACCCGCAACCTGACCGGTCCGTTTAGTGCGGGCTCTCCTCCTTGGCTATGGGAGACTCCTCCGCCTGTGAATACGCCCAGCGCAGCCATCTCGGTGTCTTGTTGCATGGCAGAGCTGTGTTCCCTGGCAAGCTCCTGGTTCAAGCTGCTGCCCCGCCTCGCACCCTTCTCACGGCTGGTCTGGTCATTGACGACCTGGTGCTTCTGCAGCGGTGCTTGCTTGCTGACCGGCCCGGCGCTGGGCTACCTGCATCGTTGGGCGCTTCTCAGCTTCAAGCCGCGCTTGACGCCTACAAGGCTGCTCCGTTGGACTTTAATCCCAAGAAGAAGACTTTTGCTGATGAGCTCCAAGCCATGTTTTGGGGAGTCGACTGTTGTGGGACGTTGGGTCTTGTTCGCACCGCGCCTGCCTGGTACTGGCCCCTCGTGCTGATCACCCTTCGGGTGGTGCAACTTGGCCTCTGCGCACGGGCGCTGAAGCTTGAAATCCTCCTGGGTTCGTGGCTTGCCGTCTCTGCTCCGACGGAGGCTGCTGTCCCTTGCCTCCTTGCCGTTCAAGGCTGTGCAGCATGGCGCGCCGGCCACCTGGCCGTGTTGGACTTGCGTGCGAGCATTTGCCCTTGGATTTTTCGCCACCGATGCTTCGAGCACCTGGCAAGCCGGAATCAAGGCGCCTCTTCCCGAGCCATTGCCCGTGAGTTTCTGCGGCGCTCCTTGCAAAAGGGGGCGTGGATCCGCCTTCTTGCCCCTGCCGCTGCCCACTTACGTGAGCAACAGCTTCTTGAACCGGAAGCCGAGCTGCCCGATGATGAAGTGTTCTCCACTCATCCTGTCGCTGTTGCTGCGGCCACCGTACCTGTGTACGCCTGCGCCTGGCGAAAAGAGTACAAGGCTCGTGTGCGTATCAATGTGGCTGAGCTCGAAGCCTTTCTCCGTGAAGAAGCGCGCCTTGCTGGCCGCGCTGCCCCAGATCTTCCAAAACACCTTAACTCTATTTAAGGTTTATTCCGATTTGTCGATTTAAGGTTTTAAGTCCTTAATTAAGGGGTTTTAAAAACACCTTAATGAAGGAGTGTTGTTGCTTTAAATGATGATACATGATCAATATTTCAAACCGATGTGTGTTGATGCTGAAGTCGTATTTTTTCACAGGAGGATCTTTGAGCGATCCTCCTTCGTGCAATGTCGGTAACATGTTCAGGAGCCGTGCATGTGTGATCAGAAGAGCGGGCTAGTGCATGCATCATGGATTGCTGTGCAAGCTTATGATCGGATACTGTAATGTGGCTTGAAGGTATAGATTATGTTTAGATCTGAACAATCTTGCCATGGCGTCCATGCAGCGTGCCAAGAACACGGCCTCCCAGAGTGAGATTCGAAGGATTCTTCGTGCGCGCCTGGATGTGGAAGTCATTGATTCCTGGCTGAAGGATAGAGTTTTTCAGCCGGAACAGGTGGCCAAGTTGTTTGTTACAGCACTGGTCGAAGTTCTGTCTTGGACCCCTCGACTGAACAAGAGCACGCTATCCCCTGCCTTCTCTGAGATTTTCCGTCTCAGTCAAGCAGATGCCAATGCTTTGTCACAGGCTTGGGTGGACTATGTGACGCACTGTCGACAGGTTCGTAACAGAAGTGAAGCGAATTATCCATGTGCTATCAGGGGCCACTACTGCTGCTCCAGCCAGATCCGCTGCAAGAACCCCGAGCACCAGCGGCCCTGCGAAGTCGGGGAAGGATGCTGGTAAGAAGCGGACAGCATCTCCGGAGACTTTGGACATCAGTAGTGGCGACGAGCCAGCAGCCTCGTCGTCGAAGCGTACTCCAACAGAAGCGGCCCTGAAGGCATCTGCTCGAAGTTTTGGTATCCATGTAGGTAGTCCCGTGAAAGTACGTGGCCACTGGGTGGATTGGTCAGCCACGCAGGTGAAGCGAAGCGGTGCTGATGGAATAGAAGTAGCGGACAAGCTTGAGTATGGCGAGCAGGGCTTCGTGGTGGCGTTTTTTGGCCAGGACCAGATCATGACTGAGATGCCCAACTTGTTTCTTCGCATGGCCAGGGCTGGTGAAGGAGGCGGGTCGACTATGAAGCGACCAGCTGCGGTCATGAAGAGACCCAGCAAAGCTTCCAAGCGTGCGTGCTCGCCTGATGCAGATGCCGTGGCGGTTGCTGAGAGTGACGAGGACCATGCGGCGGTGGCGGATGACCCGGGGCCTGCTGGAGTTGCTGTTGTAGATGATTCTTTGGCGTTGACTGTTTTAGGCGTTTTTAAGACGGCTGCGACGGGACAGTCGTATGTACAGGCCAAGCTAAGCGATGGCAAGAAGAAGCTTCTGGTTAGTATTCCTAAGTCCATGAGCGAAGCTCATCAGGACAAGATTAAGGTTTTGCACAAGCTGGCCCAGGCCAAGTATGCGGAGTTGGACTTCGATGCTTTGAAGCGTCTGTTGCTTGCCCGCAGGGCGGAGATTCTGTAGACATGAGCTTGCCGAGCTCGATGCTGGTAAAGACGTTCTGGTGGTTTGTTTGCATGCTGTCTAAACGTCTGCAGAAGCAAGCGCAGGACAGTCTGGTTGCACTCTGTGCGCCGCTCCCACAGACTTAATCGGTTTTGCTCAGCTGCAGTATAGTTTTCGGTCCTCCTAATGCTCGCTGCTTTGTGGAACATGTTCGCTCGCCGCAAGCGGGTGAAGCGTCGAGCCGAGGGTGAGGTTTCTCTGCAGCTTGGGAACGAGGATACAGGGGGCATGTCCATTCATCATTTTTGCAGATCTGTTAAAGTTCATAGTGGGTTTGGCAATTTTTGTTCCTGAAATCAATTTCCAGGAGTATGTCTGCCACACGCTGCCTCATCTCTTCAAGAAACAGAAGACGGCGGGTGACACTGACGCCGAGGTCTTCTTTGTGGACATCGTGGGTGTGCCGCAGAGCCAGCCCCAGAGTAGCGGGAATTCCTTGGGCGTGCCGCAGACCGAGCCCAAGAGCAGCAGGAATTCCAATCCAAATGCGCTGGGCTATACGAAGATGTCCAAGCCGGAATATAGGTTCTTCAATCGCACCAAGCTGTTGGCGGATGGTCTCCGGGCCACTCCTTTGCCACATGACGAAGAGGTTACGCAGGCGCTTGAGAGAATGGAACGGATGCACGAGCAGATTCGCGCTGGGCAGACGTGGCGCCCTTGCAACCGTGATGTCAAAGCCGCCTGCCAAGAAGCGCAGCGTGTTCTGGACCGGCGTCAGTAGTTTTAGCCACGTGCCGTTTCCACGGATACTCCTTTAATTCTTAATTAGAAATCCGGATTGTGTGCCATCCTAATCTACACGCTCTCCGCCCCTTGCAGTTCCCAAAATGCTCCGTGAGTGCTGCTTGCATGCAGGTCCTCCCTGGGTTTTCCGCAATTAATTTTTTAAACCACCATATAGCCCCCTTATACGGCCCCAGACTTACAAGGGATTTGAGCTGGCGGCCCGAGGCCTGGACCTGTGCGTGGGAGGGGAGATGTAGATGAGTGAGCTCGTAGCACACTAGCATGTGCTGTAGTTGCAGATGCTGAAAGGGATCTTGCTGCGTGAAGTTAATAGGACTTTATATATATATACATGTGTATAATGATACACATAATACTGTGTATAAATATTAGGAGGCCGCTGGGTCTCCTGAGGAGGCTGCTCTGCAGCCTCCTGAAATTTCGCTGTTGTGTTCCATGCCGTGTGAGCCGAACTAGTTAGTGTAGGCCTAACCCGAAGCTTGCCCCTCGCAGGTGTGGATCCTCCGCTGGGCGAGTACGACCTCTTCGCAAGGACTGGGGATGCTTCGGCCGTTGTCTCTGCGTTAAATTGTTGTTGTTGTGTTGTTATGCAAAGAACGTGACATTTCAGATGCATGTAGCCTTCACTAGCTCAAGCAACTGAGTGTGATTGCATTGTCTGTATCCCTGCCAAACATGGGCTGTGGATACTCACTCGTGCCTAATGGCCAGGGCGCACCGATGCCAAACCCGTGGCTTTCTGGAGGATACCCGCAAGCAGGTCCTCCATATCCCTTTCCGCCCCAACAGCCGCCGCCTCAAGGGATGCCGCCCTTTCCACCTACCCCGTACTATCCGCCGCAAGGACCGCCCATCGCCTCCTCAAGGACCGCCCATGCAGAGGCCGCCTATGCAAGGAGCGCCCATGCAGGGACCGCCTATGCAAGGAATGCCCATGCAGGGATCAAGGATGGAATCCCCAATAAGGGGGCAGCAATCCCCGCCAGTTCTGCCCAGAATGTGCCGGCGCCCAAAAGTGGGGAACCCAAGCCCTCGCCCAAGGCCTCGGCTGTGGAACCTCCTGACGTTTCGACTCTGCCACAAATGTGGCTTCCGCGAAGAGCCCGAGGAAGCAGCTGCAAAGGTTGCTGCCAACCTCCTGAGTAGTTGCTATGATCAGTTGCAGCGAGGTAGATTTTCTAAATCTGAACTGCAGAGTAGCTGTGACAAATTCTCTACTCAGTATGTAGCATTAGCTGAATGGTCAAAAGCCCACGGCTCGAAGAGATGGCCCATCCAACCCGAATTCCATTTACTTCAGGAATTGGTTTTAGAAGCCGCCTCCAGCCCTGCTGACCGTTGGACGTATCGTGACGATTCCTTCGGCGGAGTGATGGCAGCCTGGTCTTCCAGGCGAGGTGGCCGGTACAGCCCAACAGCCGTTGCCCAATCTTTGTTTGCAAGATTCGCAGCTCAGTCCTTGCCTCGTCTTTGAAGGAAAAAAAGGATGCGCGACGTGCGCAATTGTTTTCTGATCTTCAGGAGGCTTCTAAGTCTCCTCAGTCTCCTCAAGTCGTTGTTTGTGCAAGTGCAAGTCACAATATATGTAGGAGGCTCCATGGAAGCCTCCTCCATGTTTATTTTCATGTCGAACTTTGTGCATGCATGTGACGGTTCAAGCTTTCCTTTTTGGGTTTCGGATTTTTGATAATTATACTTTTGGGGTGGAGTCATTTAGAGTAGGTACATAGGTTGTATGTTGCATGTGTATGAACTCCTGCGCAGGATGTGTTCCTAAACAACACTGCCGATGACAACAAAAATAAACATGCCCAAGCAAGCTATAGAGTCGACGTCGTGACCATGTGTGCCTCACATGTGACCAATATGTTGCAAAATCCGAACCTTCCTTAATTAACGACAAAACACCTTATTTAGGATAGCCTACCTTATTTAAGGAAGGTAAACACCTTAATTTAGGTGTTTTAAAGCCAACCTACTTTAATTAAGGTTTTAACACCTTAATTAAGGGATTTTGCTTTCGAAAATAAGGGGTTTTCGCCTTAGTTGCGGGTGCTTAACTTAAATAAGGTGTTTTGGAAGATCTGGGTGTGTCCAAAAGGGCACTTTTCGGGCTTGACTCCCAAGTGAGCTTGACCACTTGGCGCGGTCCTGGCCTCCAGGATCTACAGCCATTTCTTCTTCTTCCCGTCCAATCTGACCCGTGCCCTTGAGGTCCGCCCACCAGCGCATGCCGCGCCAGCATGGTGGAGCAAGCTCGAAGGGTTCGATCGCTGGCTCCAGCTTTGCGAGTCGCCCTCCTCAGCCAAGTTTACGCAAGAACAGCCTGCTTGCCCACCTGCGAAGCAAGCCAGCCCGCCCGTCGCGTGTGGACTTTCGCCTGCCTCTTAGTGTGCAAGAGCTCCTCGCCGCCTTTCCCCGTGCCCAGTTTTTGTGCAGCGCCCCGGCGCTTTGGACTTGTTCTCTGGCAAGGCCGTCGTGGCGAGAGCCCTCCTTCGGCGTGACCTTCGAACTTGAGAGGTCCGCCAAAGAGGACCTCGATGACCCACCGCTTCGGGCTCGACTTGCCGAACTGCTCCGCGCCGGAGGTTTCAGATCGCTCCTGTCTGCGCCTCTTTCTCCAGGGCTGTACGCCCGGCAGTGCGTTCCCGTGCTCGGCCTGCCGGCCTCTCGCGCCTCTCTCCTGCCATGTTCGGCTTGTCGACGTTGCGGTCGAAGAGGGGTTGGCTTACTGGGTCGCACGAGCGTGCGCCAGGCTCCGACTCTGTGTTCCGAGCCGACATGTGCACCTTTGGCACTCCCTGGCACAAGCGCGCCCGTGTTGGGGCTGGACTCGCGTCGCTCAGGTGTATTGGGAGGCTTTGCCGAAGCACTTGCCCTGGCTGTCACCTGCAAGGTGAAAGCCCGGCCCAAGCTCTCCCTCAACCCTGGGGTTTGGGTTTAGACCCATTCGCTCCCCTAGGTTTTGGGTTGGTAGGCTGCCGGCCTTTCGCCTCCGGGAATCTCTTTCTCCGCTGCTGCACCTCCTTCGCTTGGGCTTCCGGTGCCGCATGCTGCCGTTGCCTGGTGGCACTCGGCTGGCTCTCCCTTTGCCTCCTGCGCCCTAGCATTTAGGATGGGGGAAGCTGGTGACGCCGGACCCCGTGTTGCTTCCTCTGCTTTGCGGGCTGCCAGACGCAGTGTCGCCCTCGAGGATGCTCCTTTGCAGAGTGCTGCCTCCTGGTGCCCCTTTTTACTCCTCTCTGTCCTTTGATCCCTCTCCAGTCTTTGTCCTCTGTCCAGGGTTAGCCGCCATGGTCCTCCGTGCCTATGGAAATGTACTGTGTGCCACTGGATGCCCGATTCATGTTTACAGGTACCTTAGTTGCTGGACAGCGGCTACACTGGGCTCTTCGAGGAGCGTTGGCTCCTGGTTGGGAACTTCTGTCAAGGTGGGAGACTGGAACCCACAGTGCACCAGACATTGGTGCCCGAAGCTCTGCTCAAGGGCCTAATGGTTGCTGCTTGTATGCGTGGGGCGAGACGTTGGGCGGCGTGCTGCTGGCCTTCTATGGTATGGCGCGAGTTGGGGAAGTGCTGAAGTGTTGCCGGCGCCAACTTGTGCTGCCAGAGGATTTATTCAGCATATATCGTGTCGATGATCCCGTGGCCTCGCGCCTCATTTCTTTGGCTTGTGCTGATCTTGGCCGAGACGAGCTGCTGTTTCCTATGAGCCCTGTCGCGTTCAGGTCAAGGTGGGACAGATGCCTGGACGCATATGGAATTCCCAAAACCGCCAACCTCATGCCTGGAGGACTACGTGGAGGTGGAGCAGTCGCTGCTTACCATGGTGGTTTGTCCGTCGCGCACATACAGTGGAGGATGCGCTTGAAGCACATGCACACTCTTGAGTACTACCTCCAGGAGGTTGCTGCTTTGACTGCCATGAATGGCTTGGCTGCCGATTCAAAGCTGAGAGTTAATTAAGATGGCTGCGCAGATTTTTCCCTTTTTGAGTTCTTCGACTTCTTGACGCGCCGCTGCATCTTTTGACACAGTCCGGCGCGAACAAGTTTGCCGGCTTACGTCAGAAAGTGGTACCCTTATAGGTGGTTACGCTGCTTCGGCTTTGACGTCTTCTTTGGCACACTGGCGCTACGAGCCGCTTTTAGTTTTCGCTGTGATGACTCTGCCGTCTTCGCCTACGGTGAACTGCCGTACACTTTTCT